ATGTTGACTTTAGGGGCACCTGAGTGGCTCAGTAGGTTAAACGTCCGACTCTTGATTTCGGCTCAGGTCATGATTGGTTCATGGGTTCAAGCCCTGCATCAGGCTCTGCGCTGACAGCATGGAGCCTGCTTGGGATTCTCTCTTCCCCTTCTCTCTGCCCCTACCCTGCTCACTCTATCTCTCAAAATAAATACAATTAAAAACATTTTTTTAATAAAAAATAAATGTTGACTTTAAGTGATAATAGTTGCAAAGAGCCTCTTCCCTATTTCTAAATTAGTTCCTGCATCTCACTGGGCGTCTTGCCATCCATTTGGAACAGAATAAGGTCAGACTTGAAGTTGTCATACTTTTCAGTTTTTCTTTCTCTGTGTTGGTTTCTTTCTGACTTCTCCGTCTTGTTCTCATCTGAAGCCCATAGTGAGGAATTCCAAACACTGACCCACAAGTGTCATAGAGTAGAAGGAAGCTTTTTTGCCTTTTTTATTGAGCTACTCCTGCATGGGTCCCGCGTTTCTTCCATCTGTGCCTTTGGACCTGCCGTCATTTTCCTTCTTATTTATATCTTCAGCACATAGTTAGAAGGACAGATCATTAGTGTGATCCACAAATAAGAAATTCTTATCTGCATTTGCCATAGAAAAGGCCTCCGTGTTACAGTGTGTACTTAACGTGTGGGTGTTACATATGAACATTTCTCATAAAGGCACCAGCATTTCATTGCACTGGAGACTAACTCAGGGTTTTATCTGCGACAGTTTAATCAGGGTTGGCATTTGCCTTTATTGTCAGTAAGAAATGATTGCATTCTTAAAATTCGTAATATCGACTAGAATCCCTTTAGAGACAATGTTTCTTTCCACTGGGTGTTTCCATTAGCACCTTTCAGCTTTATATCCTGTTCTAAAGTAATTCTTTTCATTCTCACGAAAGCTAGCAAATGCATCTTGCTCTTTTAGTTTATGTTGCAATATGCTTCAGAAAGTGTCCTCACTAGAACAGTGAATCCTGGAGTGACTTCAGAATCTGAGATCACTGGAGGAGAAAGGTTTCAAGAGTAAAGTAAGTGGCAGACAGTCCTTCCTCATTATCCTAGATTAAACAGAGAGAGGGAAATTCGATATCCTTGTATGCAGTGGAGTTTCGAGGCAAAGTAGCTTGCTGTCCCCAGACCTTGCAAGTAATCTGAGACTGGCATTTCAAATGATATTTAGAAATGTGATATCAGGGCCCCGATAGCCAGGTCAGTGGCTCTTAATAAGTAAGAAAGAGGGGATTCACGTTTCCTTCACTTTCCATGTCATGCCGTTTCCCTTTTGTGTGGGGTACCTTCTGCTTGGAAAGGAGAAAAGGATTAGAATAATTTGGACTGTGCTTAAGTGAAAAGGACGAGAACTTGGCTAGTTCTCCAGAATGTAACAGCACAGGGTGGCAGACAGTGGGAACCCCTAATGGGTTTTGCTCCTGGGTTTGGGGATTTTTTTTTTTAGCATTGCTAAAAGATAAACTGAGGCATATTAAAAAAATTTTAGGAGTTTATTTGGACAAAAACGTATTCAAATCGGCAGTGCCCAACCAGAAGTGGTTAGGAGAGTTCCACCAATGGGAGCTCAGGGAGAGACTTTTATAATTTGCAGAAGCAAAGCAAAGAAATTATTGATTGGCTGTAGTCTGAAGTCTGGCTGGCCGTTTGTGAATTGCTTGTCCTTAGGTTTCAATTTGGTAACCTTGATGCATCTACAAGCACAGACTTTAGGTTTGCTCACCTAGGCCACAGCGTTAAAGCCATCTCAGTCTAATGGCCTCCTTGTTTAAGTCATCCAACACGTTGGTTAACTCTCTCAGGACTCCTTCCTAGGTGGGCACACATTTCAGACACCTGGAACTGTTGGCAGGGGTGTTGGCATCAGAGATATATGGATTACTTTAGAACATTCTTTAGCTTGGGGCGCGTGGGTGGCTCAGTCAGTTAAACATCCAATCACCATGATTCATGTCAGTGAATTCAAACCCCACATAGGGAGCTGCTTTCAATTCTGTGTCTCCCCCCCACCCCCCCTGCCCCACCCCTGCTCACGCTCTGTCTTTGTCTCTCTCAAAAATAAATAAACATTGAAAAAAATTAAAAAAAAAAGAATATTCTTTAGCTTTAAGAATTTGTTGACATTAAAACCCATGATTTCCTTTTCTTTTTTTTGGCAAGACTTTGGCAGAGAAAAAAGGGAAGCAGCTAGTGAAAGGTGGTACGTTAGAAAAAGAGAAAAACAAGGTCATAGTTAGAGGAGGTGCTCAAGTGGGTCTCCAGTTGGCTGTCAGCCCAACTCAGCCTTTCAGGTCATGATCTCCCAGTTCATGGGTTCGAGTTCCCCAACGGGCTCAGTGCTGATGGTGTGGATCCTGCGTAGGACTCTGTCTCTCTCTCTTTCTCTCCGTCTCTCTCTGCTCCTCCCCTGCTCGCACTCCTGCTCTTTCTCTCAAAAATAAATAAACATTTACCAAAAGATAAATAAATAATTAAAAATAAATTTTAAAAACAGAGACTAAGACAGAGAAGAAAGAAATGCGTGACGCGAGGAGCAGGGACGGTGGCAGGAGGGGTGGCCGAGAGGGACCCTCCCTGTTACCTGGGATATTCAGGTGCTTTCAGAGAGAGAGCCACCTGGTCCTTGCTTGTCACCTCTAAAGGCAGCTGTAGGTGGGATCGATTTTCTTATGTCAGTTGTGCCTCAGAAGGCCCTTCCCACTGATAGCACCTCGGCAGTCTCTAGTTATGGGAGAGAAGAGGCTAAGGCCTTTCCGCGGCCCCAAGCTGTTCTCTGGCCCAGCCGAGGTGCTAAGGGCTCTGTTGTCCTGGGGGCCCTGGAGGGGCACGGGGTAAAAGGCTTACCCAGGGTTATGCCCCTCAGCTCGATAACAGTGGCTGGCTCTCAAGGGATTTCAGCATAGTGACAATGTCCACGGGTCAGAAAAAGGAGAGTTCCTTTGTCAAAAAGGTTGAACTCAGAGTGGATTGTTCCCTCGGGAGCCCTCGCTGCTGCCCTGCAGGTGTGTGCGTGATAACACTGACCGAGGCTCCCAGGCTCCCACAGCCAATGTGTCTGTGACTCCCTGAGGAGAGGCGAGGGGTGGACTTTCAGATGCTAGAGGACTGTGGGGCAGAAAGATCCCCACCACACGTTTATTTTCCAGCGCCCACCTATCTGTCTGTCGGCGGATGGATTTCAAATTCTCTGAAGGAAGAATGGCTGGCCCTGCCTGGCACATTCCTTCAGAAACATGAGCTTTTATCAATCAAAGCAGCCACTGGAAACCCTCCGGGGCCCCAAGTTTTGCTAATTTTTTTTTTAAAGATTCTTTTTTAAGTGCCTGATACATTAACGTGGTTTACACGTCAAGCTATATACATGATAGGAAGTGATACAGTGACAAGTTATGCCAGCGCTCTCACTGTCTACCCTAATCTCCCGCTGCCCCCCCCACCGAGGTCATAATTTTATTAGTTTCTTGTATGTTTTCCAGTCTCTCGATGCAGAGACAAGTAAATATGATGTACTCCCCTTCTCTCCTTTTTCACACAAAAGGAGGGCTGCTTGATTTCCCCCCTCCCCCCTAGCAGTATATGTTGGAGATCTTTGCACATCAGCACCTGCAGAATCCTCAGCCTTCGGTCCAGCTGCCCCGAGTGGGGCTGAATGGATGTACAGACGTGGAACCACCCCCAGGTCCTGCTTCTTTGCTGTCTGATGGATGCAATCGCTTTCTTTTCTTCAGCCTCCGTGGAACACCTGCACTTACCTCCCACGCCCCCCAGCAGCCACAGCAGTGACTCGGAGGGCAGCCTGAGCCCCAACCCCCGCCTGCACCCCTTCGGCCTGCCCCAGACCCACAGCCCCGCCAGAGCCGCGGCCCGGGCCCCCTCCGCCCTGTCCAGCTCTCCTCTCCTCACAGCGCCTCACGTGAGTACTCTGGCACCTCTGGACGCGAACGCTTCCCCCGCGGTCACTTGGAGCTTCACTGGGAGGGGGTGCCCTTGAAGGCCGCTTGATTTGTGTTCTTGGAAGGAAGTTGTTGGTTTAATTCGCTAAAACAGGGCGATAACCATCGTACAGCCCTTTCTGAAGACCTGCCTGTCACCCGGCCACGCTAACACAAATTCTCTTCCTCTCCCTGTGCGTATCCAGTTACCGCTCATGTGCTTAGTTTACGCAGCTACAAGCACAGGGGAGAAAAACATGGTGTTGCCTTCCGCCTCCAAATCATGTCGCAGATATTTACCGTCACTTTAGATGATCCTGCGGCCTGCGAGAGAACGTATTTTTCAAATAAACCATGTTTGATGAACTTAAAAGTTTGTCGGCGATCAAACGTGTTGACGTCTAAAGCTCAAAAACAGAGCTTAACGCTTTTTGTGTGCGGTACAAGTCTCTCTCTTTTTTTAATGTTTATTTTTTCGTTTTGAGAGAGAGAGAGAGTGTGTGCATGAGCTGGGGAGGGGCAGAAAGAGAGAGGGAGGGAGGGGGGTAGAGAGAGAGAGAGAGGGAGAGAGAATCCCAAGCAGACTCAGGGCTTGAACCCATGAACTGTGAGATCACGGCCTGAGCCAAAATCAAGAGTCGGAGGCTCAACAGACTGAGCCACTATGTGGCACACACACCAGGTGCCCCTGTGTGGCACAGTTCTTACTCCGGAGACTCAGGATAGAAAGCGTGACTCATCATTCATCCCTAAAGTATATAAGGGCACCTTTTCCCCAATAAAAATAGGGCTAGGTATTAACTTTTTATCATTCTGAAGAGCTCACTGATGTCTATGAAATCTGAAAAATTATAAACTTACAATCAACCTTATGGAATTTATATCGCATTGAATTTATATCACAGAGCAAATTTGAATGGGATGAGATATTCGAAATTCTGTAAGAACCATCTATCAATTAACATAATTTTGAAAATTTAAATTCAGTGTGTCCCAGAAAGTTCTGGATCTGTGGCCACATTCGTTTCTCTCACCATTACCAAGGACAGGGGAATTAACTTTCCCCACTCTGTCTTTACCAGCTCTAAGTCAACTCCTCACCCCTTTGGAACTAGAATGGTTTTCATCCTGTATACCTGTTTGCCCTCATCCAATCAATCCAGTCTACACATTTTTGGAGGAAATCCTCCTGGGGTCACACCCCCATAGCCTGTTGTGTTTCTTGTGTTAGCTCTTGGTATCAGGCCCTAATATGTCTACTCTGTACTAGGTGCCTTGACCCTTTGCTGCTTCAAGAACTTCTGATCCATTCCAGAATAGCTTCTTCAATCACTTTTCAAAATACTGCCTTTTGCTTGGAATGCCCTCCCCTCTCTGTGTAAATCATCCCCTTCCTTTCAGAAGGCATGATTCAAGTCTCTTGTCGTACCCGGAGGCTTTCCCCATCACACAAACTCATAGAAGCGTCTCTCCCCCCGGGTTTTGCGTGCACCTTGAGCTGCTATCACAGCATAACATTTAATTGCCCTCACCCTTTCTTGGATCAATTCAGTCTCAGTCTCGAACACAAGCTCCTGCTTGAGAGACCCAGTTTGTGTTGAGTGTTCCATGACATGGAACGTGGGGCTCACACGCAGTCGGCTCTCAGCTCTTTTGACCAGTCAGAAACACATCATCCTCTTAGGGGCTAAATGAGATGAGCGACAGTCCTCATCTTCACTGATGGTGGACGATCTGGGGCTCCACTGAAGCCAGAGACTTCCGCGGGATGTGGCTGCGGGTGCGTTTCTGGCCCCTTAGCTGTCAGCGGGGGACAGGAAGCGACCCCCGGCGCAAGGAGAGCATCTTGCAAAACTGCATTTTCAGGAGAACAACAACACTCTTTCACAGACAGAGCTCCAGGTGTATCCGCCATCACCGCAAGGCCACGAAATCTTGCGAGATGCGAGAAACGAACCCTGTAATTTTCCTTCTGACGTCTTCGCCAGTGGGGTACTTTCTGGGAACGGATGGGTGGTCTCCTTTGAGTGGTAATCCTTGGGTTGCACCAGGTCACACGACAGTGTGTTCAGCATCTTTGCCCCCACTGCAAATGCTTGTCTCTCCCCCGAAGCACACGGACATCTTTTTCTCTCAGACGTTTGCGTGTTTCTTCAGCGTGCTCAGCTGTTGTGCTTTGACCCTCTTCTGCCCGCCCCCCCTTGAACTTCACAGAAACTTCAAGGATCAGGCCCACTCGTCCTGACAGAAGAGGAGAAGAGGACCCTGATCGCCGAGGGCTATCCCATCCCCACCAAATTGCCTCTAACAAAATCAGAGGAGAAGGCTCTGAAGAAAATCCGGAGGAAAATCAAGAACAAGGTGAGCCCTTCAAATCTAAGTGCTGCTTCTTTTTTAAGTGTATTTATTTATTTGAGGGCGGGGGGGAGGCAGAGAGAGAGGGAGAGAGAATCGCTCCCTCAAACCACACACCACGAGATCACGGCGTGAGCCAAAATCAAGAGTGGGAAGATTAAGCGACTAAGCCACCCAGGCGCCCCAAATCTAAGTGCTTCTATGAGCAGAGACTGTGACCAGAAGTGAGCCTGCATGCCCCTACTCCCCTCTTCCCAGTGGCCACTGAGGGCCCGTCCCATGGAGGGGGACAAGACTCGGCTTGCCTTTCCCCTGGGTGGGGAGCGGGAACGCAGCCACCACTCACCCCTGTGTTCTTCCAGCCCCTCCACCCATCCTCTGGGTCAGTGGATCCGAAATTGGGTGTGTGGACTCCTGGGTGCCCTGGGTGATCCATTCAGGGGTGAGAGGAAGATACTAGAACTCTCATTAATTTTTTTTTTTTTTTATCTCAGCCTTTCAAGTTTCTGTTTTATGATGTGCACAGTATTTTGGTCTCATAGGCACGTATATAATTTATATTAAACATAAATACATTATGGGTATTTGTTTATTTTCTTTCTTTACTGGGTTTTTGATTAAAAAAATTCTGCAGTCCACTCTTCTGCAGTCTCCTATTCCTCTGTGCCGTATAGTGCAAATCGAAGCTGGTGACGCCCAGGGGCATGACTAGGGCACAAGCAGGGCAGGAGGGAGGAGGCAAAGAAAGGAAGAAAGAAAGTTTGGTTATGACTCTTGGTCCATGTGCAAAACCAGTAGGGGGTTATGTATGAGCAAGCCCAACCCTCTTAGTTTCTGTGTTATAGCCGAGCCAGCTGAGGCTCACGGCGTTGAAATCATTTATCCAAGACCCTACAGATGGTCTGTGACCCACGTGTTCTGTTCAGGCCCGCCATGCTTCCCACTCGGGACCTAGTTTGGGGAGAACACGGGCTGGTTGAAACCAGGGTGGTCAGAAGAGGTGATTCACAGATGAGCCAGCAGGTTAAATAGATGAAGAGTGGCTACAACAGTGAGCAGGACTCTGGTGATGTCTGCACTAACGGATCTCTCTCTTCCATTTACACATAATTGATTTATCGATATAGCAGGAAGTGAATCCTTTCTTCTCCCCTTATATCTCAGATTTCTGCCCAGGAAAGTAGGAGAAAGAAGAAAGAATACATGGACAGCTTGGAGAAAAAGTAAGCCTCCTGCGAAACTGGGTGTGTTTATTGGGTGACATACATGGGGAGCCGGGAGTGTGCAAAGCATCGGGTTTTTCATGAGAAGCGAAGTTTGTTCTGGCCACCATTAAAGCCCACTCGTTCATCAGCTGTGGTTTGCCTGCCACCTAGTGGTTTTTAGAGGGCAAGCTTTTTAAGTTTGGCTGGAAGTAAAAAGTACCCTCAGTCTTAGTAGGCATTTGTATTACACCGTTCTAACCAAAGTTCCTTAAGTCCTTGAAGGCTTCCTTGCCAACAAGTGTAAATATTAACATACGCTCACGTTTCTGGAACTCTCCACGGAGGAGAAGCACTGTTTCAGCAGGAAGGGGCAGTGCTAATTAATCAGTTCTTTTGGCCACTTCCCTCACACCTTAGGGAAACACACAGGCAGTGCAGTAGGTCGGGCTGGCGTTCGTTATTTTCCGTCCACTATAATTCATGCTACGGGCTAGTGACTTCTCACAAAAACACCTGAAGGCATCTTTTGTTCTTCCGAATGGCTCCAAATATCAGGAGGGCTCTTAGGAAAATGGCAACTTTGTATTAGGTTTAGATATAGGCTTGAAACACAACTTTGTATTAGCCTTAAAACAGTTCTCCAGCTGACCAACAGGTATCATTTTAAGATGGAAATGAGGCCGCTGATCCAGAAAGGAATCTTCCCGTGTGTCTGGGGAAAGGAGTGGATCCTTGGCTGGTTCTTGAAGTTCCCACCGAAAGTTAGTGTTTCTACGTCCTGGTTTAAGTATTGGTAGTTTGGCGTTAAGCAGTTCCCGTTCTGGTCCAGTATTTTCTGTAGGCATCCAGGGTCAAGGTGGTCTTTATTGCCTCTTTGGGGGATGCCTATGCTCCTGCGCCTGGATTCCTTGTATTGGGGCACTGGGTTTTCATCCTCTCCCCTCACCCTGTCCCGAACGCCTTGGCTTCCCGTCAGTCCTCCCGGCCGAGGGTACAGCCAGCAGCATCCAGCCCTTGTAGGATGAGGGAGACGTGTAACAGGTGTCAAGAGTAATCGGGATGAGGTGAGAGCAGCCAAGGCTGGAAGACACCAGAAGGAGTTTACATTTTGTACCATCCTGTTTGTTTTCCATTACCGAGGCACTGGTTTCTCTGTGTGTGTGTGTCTCTTTTCTCTTTTGTCTTCTTATCCTTCTTCCCAACTCAGGCTGGCCAGACTCCCTCCCTCACTTCCCTCGAGTAGCTGATTCCCACACCTCCTTCTCTGAGCCCCACCTGCCTCCACCCTGGCTCCTGGCCTCGCATTTGCTCTAGTGATACAGCTAGTTGTCTTCTTTCTCTTTCCTCTGTAGGGTGGAGTCTTGCTCCACTGAGAACTTGGAGCTTCGGAAGAAGGTGGAGGTTCTGGAGAACACCAACAGGTGAGTGTCGCTGAAGTAAGGAGCTGTTCAAATGGCCTAATGGCAGGGGGGCGGAAAGAGAGGCAGAGCAAGAAGGAAGTGGAGGAGATCCCACTGAAGGTACAGTCGTGCCCAGGTGTCTGGGACGGCCATACTCTACCCACCTGTTCCCGCCACACACGTGCATTGCACACTCACATACACACGCATGCGCGTTCTTTACTTTTCCTAACATATACGGGATTGATGGAGATGCCAGTTCTGACAGGGGTTCTGATGAGGGGCGTAAGGAGGAGGCTTGGAGGAGAATAAAGTTGGATAAGTTTGATTCTTCTAAAAATGACGCTAAACGTTAGAGGTGTCCAGAGAGGGACCGGCCTCTTCGTCGTCACTCGGTCTTAGTAACAAATGGTGTTTATTAGTGAAAAGAAGAGAGAAGACCAAGTTTGTGTTTTAAATTACCGCTTATAAAAATTCATTCATTCATTACATTTCAAACCCATTTTATTTTATTCTCATTTTTTTTTAAAGTGAGTGGCTCTTCTTTTTTTAAGTTTTCTAATTTATTTTGAGAGAGAGAGAGCACACACATGCACTGGGGAGGGGCAGAAAGAGAGGGAGAGAGAGAATCCCAAGCAGGCTCAGCACAGAGCGCAGAGCCTGACCTGGGGCTCCATCTCATGAACCGTGAGATCGTGACCTGAGCCAAAATCGAGTCGGAGGCTCAACCAACTGAGCCACCCAGGTGCCCCTCAAAGCCATTTAAAAAAGTAACAGACAGAATGAGTTAACGGGTTCTTCTAGCGCTCTCTTGCCAGGTATTCTTTTCAGTGCGTCACAGATGCTAACTCATTTTACCTTCCAACAGCCCTGTGAGGTGGTCCTATTAATATCCCCACTATAGGGGCGCCTGGGTGGCGCAGTCGGTTAAGCGTCCGACTTCAGCTCAGGTCACGATCTCGCGGTCCGTGAGTTCGAGCCCCGCGTCGGGCTCTGCGCTGATGGCTCGGAGCCTGGAGCCTGTTTCCGATTCTGTGTCTCCCTCTCTCTCTGCCCCTCCCCCGTTCATGCTCTGTCTCTCTCTGTCCCAAAGATAAATAAACGTTAAAAAAAAAATATCCCCACTATATAGAGGAGATCACTGAGACTCAGAATGGTTAGGTCACTTGCCTAAGGTCACACAGTAAACGGGAGAGCTGTATTTAACTGCAGTACGTCTGGTTCTGGAGCCTCAATATAGGAGAAGCATATGCAAGAGAAAGGGGTTGAGGGCTAGGATTAGGGTTGGGGAGTTTAATCCAGAATGCATGTTTGCATGTGTGCACGGTGCCCACTTAGGCTTTAAAAATTAAAGTGTCCATTAGTGAGGGGATCCTATGGTTGTTACAAACAATCCAAGTAGAGAAAAGTAGACTTTTAGGTGAGAAAAATATTACTTAATCATTTTAAGGCTGAGTATAAATGCCTGATAATGATTTTGCGGTTGTTAAGGGATCATGTAATATCTATTAGCACGTCATCGGATGTTAACATCAAATATGGCTCCCATCTTCATGGTTTGACGCGCGAACAGCAGGCTTATTTTCTCGGAAGTTAAAACCCCCGTCATTGGGAACATTGGACATTGTAACCCCACTGGGCTGCCCTCTGCAAGTCTGGGAACGTGTGCTCAAATAGCAGATCAAGGGCGGTCACCTCAAATGCCCTGTAGACAGATGGCAGAAGTAAGTAAATGTCACCAGCTCCGTGTGCTATTGTCTTGATTCCCTTGAGGCAAAGGAGACGGTTTCCAGGGCCACTTTAGGATTCTGGTTTTATGGTTGCCTTTGGCCATTAGTCTCCTGAGGCTCCACCCCTCCTTATCTCCACCTTCACCCCTGCCACAGCGGATCTCTGGGTCCTGGACCCCCACCAGAGTCCGAATCTATCTTGTTAGCATCCTGAACAGATAATGTTCCCATGCCCGCCCTAGCACTTGCTGCTGTAGAAGCCCCGTGTTCATGAGTGGGACAAAGCCACGCCGTGAACTGGTGAGAAGGGAAAGAGGAACTGATGCAAGATCACCTTGGAGTTCTGTCCAGGTGCCTTCTGGTCTAAGGGCTCCGTGTGCCAGGTCTTCTCACAACCACAAGGGGGCAGCAAAGGTGCACTCTGGGCTGTGCTGGGGAGCAGGGTGCTTCTGAGAAGGGCTCCATTGCCCCCCTTTCCTGGGAAATGCCTCCCCTCCCCTCTCCAGGCTGACCCTCCTGTATCATATTTTTTAAACTTAAAAAAAAAACACACCCACAGGTGATATATTCCCAGTGTAGAAAAAATCAGAAACTATAGTTAAAGCAGAAAATTGCAATCTTTTCACCCAGAGATATGTTTATATTTTGTGATAGTTTATATTTATGTATTTATACCTATATGCATCCTATCTTGTTAAGAAACTTTTCCCATTTAACAGAATACACTGGACACATTTTCATATCAGGAAATATATTTCTACAGAATCCTTATTTCTGTCAGATTTTGATAAAGAGCCATCACGTGAGGAACATTGACATAGGGCACATCTGATTCTGTGTAACAACAATCTGTGTTTTCAATTGTTTTTATCTTTTTAAATAATGGCGATTGTAATCTGGTATTATTATAGAATATGGGTTATGGGATCATATGGCATATTTGAGCTTACGGTCAACATATCTCATGTTCTTCAGTGATGAGAGTCCGTGATGATTTTCCTCTTCTTTACTAACTGTGTGGAAATTTTTTCCAGTTATTTATTGGGATCTTCACTGAAAAAAAAGCAACCTACCTCATGATATTGGTGCCCTTCTCCGTCCCTCGACTGCCCTATGTGTGTTCTCCCTCTTCAAAACTTACTTCTCCTGGGGGACAACCCTTCTTTTATGGTGGTCATGGCTGACACTTGACTAATATATAGTCTTCCCACAGATCATCTTTCTAAAGAATTTTTTTAAACATTAATTTATTTTTGAGAGAGAGTGCAAGCGGTGAAGGGGCCCAGAGAGAGGGAGACACAGAATCTGAAGCAGGCTCCAGGCCCTGAGCTGTCAGCACAGAACCCAATGCAGGGCTGGAACTCACGAACCATGAGATCATGACCTGAGCCCAAGTCAGAGGCTTAACTGACTGGGCCACCCAGGTGCCCCTTCCCACAGATTATCTTACGGGTTTTAGCCTGAGAGGTCAAGAAATAAAGGTAGTGTTGCCCTGGTTGAGACAGGGAAGGTGGGTCCGCGTTCCCTCCAGCTTCTTCCCCCTTCTCTTTCTGTTCCCTGCCAAGGGCCTGACCTTGCTCAGAGGACACTGCACCAATCACACGGACTATAAGGTAAACCCTGCCAATCTCCTGCCCTACACCAGTCATAAGGCGTTGGTGTTTTGGGCATGTGATAAGGGGAGACTTTTGGTCCCTTTGCTCCTGTAACACTGCCTAAGTGACCCAGTGTTTGAACTAAGTACAGGGCTGGGCCTAATGAACACACACCTGTGTTTGTGTTCCTGGCCATGCTTCTTGCATTATTATCCTTTGGAGGGTGCTGGCCGGAGGGAAACGGCTCTCCGTGAACAGGATCCTGGGTCACTAGAGTCGGGCGGGAGACCTGGGGCGCCATTGTCTCATACGGCAGGACATGGCGGGAAAAGTGACGGGCTGTTTCCTCCTTGACCAGCTTAAAGGAAGATTATCTTTACACTTTACCACTTCTGTGTTATACCCCACAAGGGACTTTTCCACCTCTCTAGATAAAAATGAGTGCCCAGATCAGGAGTCGGTCCTGAATCTTTCCCTTTATACTGGACTCAGCCGCAGCCACCTAGCATATTGTTGGTTTCTCGATGTAGAGACCCTTTTATTGGAGCTCGGGAAACCGGAAGAGCATGAAGACAGGAGAGAAAATGAAGACGTGCTCTTAAGGCTTCTGCAGCCTTACCTGGGAGGCTCTCAGAGCAGAGCCAAGCAGTGTGAAAGCACCTTCACACCTGCTCTGCTGAGGTGATCCACTAATTGCATGCCATCAGGAAACGTGTGAGATGAGAGAAAGAGAGACGGTTTCCCAGGGGGCCCGTCTTCCTGTGCTCAGTCAGGAAATACATTTCCACTTGCAGAGCGCGGATGAAGCCCGTGTGGGGGGCTGCCGGGGGATCGTGCTGGCTGTCCTGTGCTCACGATCCACCCTTCTAAGCCACAGGCTCTCTGGATGGCCCTGCCCGGGTCCCATTCCAGAGAAATCCCGCGCCGGTGACACACGCATACCGCCCAGCCCGGCAGTTTTAGGTGTTGGTGGTTCAGTTTGCTCCTCTCAATTCTGTATTTGGCTCTGTTGCCTCTGGAGGGCTGTGAGCCACCTGCCCTCTCCTCCGCCCTCATGTGTGGGGCCATGGGAACTTAGAGTCGAACTGCGCGTTAGCGGAGACCGTCTAATGTGACTCGTAGTCACGTCATTTTACAGAAAGGGAGACTGAAGCCCAGTGAGGTTCAGGTCATTCAAACGTCTAGAGGTAGAAGGGCGGGGGGGGGGGG